AATTATTAATTTTTCGTTAGGAATATAATCTTTTACCCCCCCTCCCCCTTTTCCCTTTTCCGAAATATTATTATTTCATCATTAATTTTTAAAAAAAAAATTTAAGAGTTAATCTTAGTAATTAATAAAAGACTAAAAAAAAAATATATATAAAATCTCATCTTTTTTTCATTCCTTTTTGAAATAAAAAAAAAAAAAAGAGAGAGAGAGATAGAGGGAAAACTTCATTACAACAAATGTGAATTTCATAGACAGGAGGAAAAAAAAATTTTCTTTCCATTTTCATTCATTAAACCTTTAAAATATTTTTTTTTTCACGTCGTGAATTTTTTTTTTTTTTTTTTGAAAATACGTCGTAAAATTAATTATAAAATAAAATCTATTTAAAAAAAAAAAAAAAAGAAAAAACTTTTTTATGACTTTTTTTTTTTAAACAAAAACTCGCGAAAAATAAAACATTAAAAAAAAATTATTAAATTTATTTATGAAAATAATTTTTTTAGGGTTCGTACCGTACATTTCAAAACCAACGATAACAACAACAACCGTAATAATAATAATAATAAATTTTTTTTATATTAAAAAATATAACAACAGGAAATCTTTTTGTGTTAGATGGCCCACATTCTTGAAAACATTCTATAAATACCATTATTATCCCAGATTATTATTATTATCATGCATTTATTCTTAAGGAATCGGGTCGAAATGAAATCTAATTAGGTTTGACAAGGACGTAAGTCGTGATTAAAAGTGAAAAAACAATAATAATAATAATAATAATTTACCTAAAAACATATAATGAATACTGCATCCTTATTACATTTCTATGCTCATTCGAGTGCAAATGAAAAAAAAAAAAAAAAAAGAAAATTTCGACATTTAAAAAGAAAAAAAAAAAAAAGGACGACAAATTAAACCGTAAATTACTTTTATTATAAATTGTAAGAGAGAACAAAAAAAAAAAATTAACTAACGCAATTAAGGGACCCTTTACTCATTTAAGCTATTAAAAAAAAAAAAAATTCCCTTAAAATTTTAGTTTTAAAAAAAAAAAAAAAAAAAGGTAAGGAAATATGAAAGGGAGAAAAGCATTAAAAGTATCGATTTTCCTTTTTTACTTTTTACGAAAAAAACCTTTGTAAATTTTATTTCTCTTTAATTTAAAACTAAAACGTAACTAAATCATTTGTAAAAAAGAATTTACGTTAGGCCGGAAAAATTATTATTATTATTATTATTGAGAAAATTCGAGAAAAAAATTGTTTTTTTCGGGGGGGAAAGCCCGAAAACTTCCAAAAAAAAAAAAAAAAAATACATAACGGATTTTGGCATTTTTTTTTCATATTCATAAACAGGGGAAAAATGTGTGTGTGTGTGTGTAGGTGTGCGCGGGTCTAACACATTCGTTTCCAAACTCATTTTTAAACATGAATTCATTCGTTAATTTATTTTATAACGAGAATAGGCCGATTTAAATAAATTTTTACCATACATACATACGTACGAGAATAAAATTTTAATTTGATGATCCCTCATCCGACAATACAATTGGGATAAATTAAAAAAAAAAAAAAACGAAATTTGTTAACGAAAGCGTTCGTTATACCATCCGCCATGTTTTTTTTTTTTTTAATTTAAAAAACAAACAAAAAAATTTTTTTTTTTTTTAGCTCTTTCATTAATAAAAGATTTGAAAATTTTATTTTTTTTACGATCGATTCGAAATTTTTTTTCCTCCTTTAAAAAAATTCTAATATATATAATCTTTAAATAATAATAATAATAAGAAATAAATTATAAAAATATAAACATACGTCAAATATAGAAGTTAATGATGATGGTTTTAAACTGCCTACCACGACATCATTATTATTAAATCTAAAACCACGTGGGAATAAATTTAAAAAAAAAAAAAAAAAAAAACGCGCGCACCGAGCGGTATCATGAGCTTAAAAAAAATTTTTATATATTAAAGATTGTAAATTAAATTTTATTATTATTATTATTATTATTAACTAATAATTAAACTTTAATGTTATGATAAATGTATGGTATTAAATATAAAATATTTTTTTCATTAAAAACGAGGGAGGGGACCCACGACAGCGGGGGTTCTCGTTGGTATTAACAAAGTGTTGATATTAACTTTAAAAAAAAATTTTTTTTTATTAAATTTATTTATCACGTAATATAAAAAATATTGCGAATTGTAATTTTATTTTTAATTAATTATTAATAAATCAATTTTTTTTAGATATAAACAAAAACAAAAAAATGTTTATTTAAATGCCGAATCAATTTTTAATAACAAAAAAGAAAAAATTTATATTTTGTTAAAATTTTAAAGAAATAAAACAGTCGAGAGAAAAAAATTTTCCTTTTTTTTTAAAAAATGGCCCCAATTATATGATTTATTAAATTTATTATCATCATCATCATCATAATTATCATCATCATCATCATCGTAATAATTATTATTATTATAATTTTTATTAAAATAAATTTATTCGAAAATTTAATTACAAAAGTTAATTACCCGTTTAAAAAAAAATAAAAAAAAGATTTATGAATCATTATTAAATAATATATATTAAAAAAAAATTGTTTTGTTAAATTAATTTTTATATTTATTATTAATAATAATAATAATAATAAATTATTGAGAAAAATATTTAAATAATTTTATTAACTCAAAATCTTTATTAAGAAATTAATTATTAATTTGGTATTTTCTTTTTTAATTCCTTTTAAATTATTATTAATATTATTAAAATTTTAAATATTTATTTCTTTTAATAAATTAAAAGATTTAAATCGAATCGATAATCAATAAGTAAATAAATAAATAAACATTTTTTTTTAATTATGTGCGATGGTAAACGTTTTAAATTTTACATTTAAACTTTTTCTAATTCGATACTAATAATATTTGCGAATGTAAACGAATGGTTATGTTTAAGAAAACGTTTATATTGTTTGTAAACAAACGTAATTAAGTTATTTTATGCAACGAAATAAACTTTTAAATAATAAATCACTCCCCCTCCTTGCCTCCCTCCCACTACCCCCCAAAAAAAAGAAAAACAAGAAAACAAAATTTACATCGTTTTATATGAGACTAAACGATTATTATATGCACATGAAATTATTTTTTAAAAAAAATTTTTTTGGTTATTTTTTTCCATTTGATCGTTATTAAAAAAAAAATTTTCGATCATAAATAATAATAATAATAATAATAATAATAATAATAAGTTTTGCTTTTATGAAAATTAAAAAAAAATTTACATAACAAAAATACGGTTCTTGTTGTACGGTTTTTTTTTTTATAAATAATTTAAGGTTCGTCAAACGTAATTTCCGAATATTATTTTAAAAAATTTTTTAGTATTTGTTTAAATAATAATAATAATAATAATAATAATAATAATAATAATAATAATAATTTTCGGTATTGAAAAAAATAGAACTTTAGAAAAACTTTTTCTCTCTCTCTCTCTCTTTCACCAATTTTTTTAAACAAAAAAATATTATTTAATATAAATTAATAAAAAACCAATAATCGAATTAATTGAAAAAAAATTGCAATTAAAAATATTTTTAAAAATCATACCTAGAAATCATATTCCTTAAAATTCCTTTTTTTTTTTTTTTTTTGTTAATAAACTAATTTATTTAAATACGTCGATCGATGATTAATTAATATTAAAAATTTTTTTTTTTCGTTATACGAACATTAATATCGAATGAGAAGAAGAAGAACAGCAAAAGGGTAAATCGAATTTTTAAAAAAATTTTTTTTTTTTTTTTTTTTTTTAATAAAAAAGGTTACCAAAAGGCACGGATCCCACCGATTTAAGTAACGCGACTCAACTGACTTTTGGTATTATTTGTTCTCCAAGGCTGGGGGCCTGCGCAACGTTATTGTTACACGTGCTATTGAGAATTCAAGGGACCTCATCATTTTAAAAAAATTTATTTATTTATAATTTTTTTCATTTGATATTATATACATAATAAAATTGATTTAAAAATTTTAATTAGTCTTTTTTCCTTTTCAACTAAAACTATCACTCGAATTTTTTTAAATTTGATTTTTAAAAATATTCCAAAAAAATATAAAAAAAAAAAATTTTTTTTTTTTATTTACCTTTTAGTGAAAATTTTTATTTTTCCTTCACCTTCGATTTATCCAATTTTTCTTTCTTTCTTTTCGTTATTATTATCCATTTATTTAATGGGTAATTTTATATTTTTAACCCTGAAAATAAAATAAATTTACTTTTTTTAAAAATCCAAGGATGATAAAATTTAATATATAAAATTTAGGATGTCAAAAAAAAAATTATCAAATCTCCTCCCATCCCTCCCTATTATATAAACTTTTCGGGATGGTCAAAAATAATTAACATCAAATAATTAATAATTAAAATTATAATATAAAATATTTATGGTAGTGGTTTTATAGGAAAATACTGTCAAAAAAAATTAAAATTTAAAATAAAAAAAGTTACGTACGTTACTTATATATTTATTTAAATACCGTTAAAAACTTTTAAAAATTAATATTCATATAAAGTTTTTTTTTTTTTTTTATTTAAAAAAGAGAAGTTTTAATAGGAAAAATTCAAAAGTTTGTTCAATCTAATAGTTAAACTTGTAAATTTTATACATAAAACTTTTAGTTTTCCGCTTATATATATTATATATATATATAATAATAATATACGGTAATTTAAATAAACAAAAAAAAGTTAAATTTACATAATATAATAACAACCGTTAAAAATTTTTTTTAATTAATTAAAATAATTATATAACAACAACAATAACTTTTTAATAAAAAATCTTGAAGGTTTTTTTAAAAAAAAAAAAAAAACATTTAAAAAATTTGCAACAGCCTTCTTGAATCAATTTATTTTACAAGTTTTTTTAAAAATCATTATATAAACATTAAGTAAAAAAAAAAGATACATTAAATGAGTACATTTTAAAAAATGTCTAGAATAAGTGAGTTAATTTAAAGTTATGGGAAAATTATTAGTAGATACAAGTGATGGCGAAACAAACAAAAGCAAAGATAGTTGGACACCACAAAATAAATTAAATACCGGTCAGGAATTGCAACTTGACTCTTATTATGGACCGGAATTACCACCTGATGTTTTATTTCCCGATCAATTGAATAAATATTTAAAAGAACAAATACAAAATTTATCACTCGAAAATGGTAGTCTACGTAGATCACTTGAAGAAATGCAAGATGAGTTAAACAATTCAAAGAGAAAATTATCAAAACCGGGACTTCCCATTGCGGGAAGAGCTTCGGAAATAGCCGCAAATAAAATAGCTGAATTAAGTAAGAAATTGCGTGAGCAAAATGCCGAACTCGAAAGTATGAAAAATCGTGCGAAAGATGCTGAGGCTAAATTAAGACAAATAGAAGCCAATGCGACGACGGATCAACAATCACTCGTTCCACAAATGCCGAGCGATGATGAATTATATGAAAAAGACAAACAAATTAAATTGTTAACGGAAAAATTACAGAGCACGAATGCAAAAATGTGCGAATTCAGAAATCAGTGTCAAAGTTTAAAACAAGAATTAAAACTTGCACAAAAAGTAATCGAATGTGAAGTTGGAGAAAAAATTGGATTTCAAGATTTGGCTAAAGAAAATGGTAGTTGGAGAGGAAGAGCTCAACAAATCATAACTTTACAAAATAAAATTCAACATTTACAAGAACAATTAAGTAACACTACGATAACGGAAATACCAGCAACAAATGTTTTAAGACAAATTGAAAAAGATAGAAGAGCTTCGTACGAGGAAACGTCAAAACAACTCAATCAAAAAACAATACAATTGGAAGAAATGAAAAAAAAATTAGAAGCATCCAAAGCAAGGAATAAAGTATTGGAAAATGAAATAATACAAATAAAAACAAAACTTTCCACAATGATGGACAAAGGAATGAGAGATGAGCAACTAGTGGCAAGTTTAAATAATCAAATAAACGTTTTAGAAGATAAGTAAGTTTTTTTTTTTTTTTAAATTTTCTTTTCAAAGCTTTTCCCCATCTATCCAATCATTTAAAAATATTTTCTTCACGATTTTACAAACAAATAATGATAAAGAAATTATCGGGAAATTAAATTCTTTAGAAAAACAAACGTGAAATAAAAAAAAAAAAAAAAAAAAAAGGACAAATTTAAGGAAAGCTGCTGGATCGATCGAGGGGGGCAATTGAGTTTTTTTTTTTGTGCATTTGACGCACAGAATAATTCGATGATGTCACGGACAAAAGGCGTTAGAAAGAAAAAAAAATTTTAAATAAGGCACAATTATTTAATTCGAAAAAAAGGCCACCAAATTTTCTTTTTTTTTTTTCGTCGTTTAATTAAATTTTTTCAAAAAGTAAAAGAAAACAAAAAAAAAGGGTATATTTAACCAAAATACAACAAAATTTTAAACTAAATTCTAAATTCAAAATGGCCCCTCTATGTATGTATAAAAAAAAAAAAAAATTTCATTTGTGTTTTTAACATTTTTTAAAATGAATTTATGACTTTACAACGCTTTCAAATTTCCGGAAAATGCTAAAAAAAAATAAAATATACGTACGTAAATTAAATCTGATGACATTAATATCCCCTCTTCCCCTCCCCCCAAAAAAAATAGAGTTTAATATTGAAAATATGTTGCATGCGCCAAGTGAAAAAAAAAAAGAAGCAAACTGTTGAATGTTTGAGTATTTTTAGGTCACTCACTTATATAAACTGTCATCAAATAGAGAGAAAAAAACAAAAAAATTTCCCCTCACTACCCCCCCGCCTTTTTTTCTTCTTCATTTTACCATTTTTCTTTATTTTAAATCAACTTTAATAGTCTATTACTTAATCTTTTAGCTGTTTAAACAGTTTTTAAACAAAAATGATAATTTGAAGTTGTTTTTTTTTTCTTTTTTAATTAAGTTTAAATTTAAAAAGAAAGAAATTATTCTTTTAAAACATTTTCTCTATTGAAAATAAATGAAAATGTTTATTTTAATTTTAAAAAATTTAAATATTTTTAATTATTGATTCTAAGCATTGATGGTTCTAACCCTCTTTTGTTGTATTGATGGAAAATACATGATGTAATCAAATAAATGGTTTTTACAACTTATATTGCAAATTATTGATAGAATTCATTGCATAAAAAGGAAAATTTACAAATTCCTGTATTGTTTATACTTCTATAATTGTCTATACTCATAATAATACATTAGTCCATATAACCTAAATATTCTTGCTTTACAAAAGAACAGGTAAAACATTGTTTAGCTACCTTTAAATTATATTATCATTTTGCAAGTGAATTTATACAGTTTCAATTAAGAAAAAGTAACGTACAATAAAATTTACTCTTCTCTTAAAGTTAATATTATAGCCATTTCTACTAACTAAAAAAATGAAAGATTAACACTTACATATAAATAGACAAAAAGCCCTTTAAAACACTAAGCACTGTGTAAATTTATTTTAAAATAATAAATTAAGAGTATTCTTATTAACATTTTTTATAAAATAAAAAATAACTAATGTAAAAACACCAATGAAAAACTAATAAAACACTTCTTAAAAAAAACCATGACAAAATCCATGACGGTTAACATGTTGACTGAATTAAGTGAAAAATTTGGCGCCAAATGTTAGTTTTGTCTTGAGGCACGACAAATTGAGAGAGCGTTTTAAAGTTGTGCACTCGGAATTGTTTGTCTTTAAATTTCGATGAATCGCCATTTTTTTATCTACTCTCTTGACTTATCATTTTTTATGTACAAATAATTTTAAATGAAATGAATAAAACCCTTTAAAAATAATAAATTGTTTTATTTTGATAAAATTTTCATTTAGAGGAAGAGATCAAGTTCAATTTTTTTCAAAAATGCAAGATAACATGACAAAATTACAACAAGAAATAGATATAGAGAGGCAAAAGAGTGAACAACTTCAGGTGTGGAAAAATAATTTTTTTTTTATTTTTTTTTTATCATTATTATTACACTTACTGATTATTTTCTAATTTTTAGAAAGCTCTGTTTGATCGTGACGGTAAAATTCAAAGATTGTTAGATCAAATTGAAGAATTTAAAAAAATAAAAACGTTACCAGTTGAAGATCCTATTTCTTTACCTGTAAACAATCCTGTAGAATATTCAACAAGTTGTACCTTGCTTACTCCTGAAAAAAATGCTCTAACGCTATTAGATTCAGAAAGAATGAGACTTTTAGAATTACTAGCCGTTGTAAATAGAAGATTAGATGAATCTAGAAGGTTACAAATGGAAGCCGAATCACAATTGAAAAAAGAAAAATTTAGAAGTGCTAAATTGGAAATGAAAATAGCCAGATTAGAATTAGAAAGAGTTGGAGTTTTAAAAACAGGACGTGGAAGTTATGCTCAACACAATAACAAATATGGAGATTTTTCACAAACAGATCCTGACGAAGTGGTAAAAATTTATTCTAAACAAAAAAAAAAAAAAACAATCATAAAAATGATAAATTGTTGGTTTTTCAGTATATTTTTTAATAATAATAAACTATCATTTACAGACTCGTCAGCACATAGAATATTTGGAAGAAGAATGTTTAGCATTGAAAACAAGAATAGAAACATTACAAATGGAAAAAGAAGATGATTTGAAAGTTTTTGCAGCTATAACAGACATGAGACATGCATATGTTAAAAAAACAAATAATTGTTCAGTTGCTAAAGTTAATTCACCCAAAGATGTAAAAAGTACAAATAAAATATTAGATAAAAGGAGAAAAAAAAGTCAAACAAAAGTAAAAAAAGAAAATACAAATAATATATCGTCAAAATTTTCATCTGAAGAATCTATTGCACAATAAAAAAAAAAAAAAGTTATGAAAGGGGGAGGGGGGTTTCATTTTTACATAATAATAATTTTAAATTATATCAGAAAAAAAAAAAAAAAAAAAAACTATTTTTTTAAGAGCATCATTATTATATTTATTTTATTTATTGAAAAGTACATAAAACAATTACAAAATAAAATGTTTATTTTCAATTAAATAAAATAATATTGTTAATGAAATTATGAAATAAAAACTAAACTTTTCTTTTTTTTTTTTTTTTTTTAAATGAAATGATAATTTATAAAAATATTATTTTTTATCAAAATTATTTAAATTAATCTGTTAAAAAATAAACATAATCAGCGACGTTAGAATATTTATTTCGTATTAAATATTAATCTTTTTTTTTTCCCCCTTTTTCTCTTTTTTTTGGCAATAATATCATTTTATGGCATATTTTGCCGATAATAACAATAATTTATATATATAAGGACAATTATTTTAAAAGATATCATTATTCTTACATTTACAAGTAATTTTTTTTATATAATATACATTTGCTTTAACGAGAAAACAAATATTTTTTTTAGACTATGTAAGAAATAACAATAATAAAACAGATTTTTTTTAAAATTTAAATTATTATTATTATTATTTTTTATCTCTCTACTTCTAAATCTAATTAAGTAAGATAATTAACATTAAAATTGGCATATGATTAAATGAGATGGTTTTTTTTTTTTTTTCCCGTTAGGCAATAAATAAATGCAAATTATATATATTAAATTTTTATGCGTGAAAAGTCTTTTTTTTTCTTTTTCTTTTTGAAATGGAATGTGTGATAAATGAAATTAAGATCTTTGGTTAACAAAACGAAATTTTTTCAATTATTCCGCCATTGTTTTCATTATCAAATAATTTTTTTTTACGAAAAAATACTCTTGATAATACATTTTAATGTTTTGTAATTTTTTCAAAAACATCTCATAATACTATAAATAATATTTATTAACGTAAAATCCCTTTTTCTATCTTATTATGAGTATTATTTGTATTTTACATAAGTAACTATATATTTATTTACTAAAATATTAAATTGTACTTTTAAAAAAAAGAAAGAAAATTTGACGGTAAAAAGTAATGCTACTAACAACAACAACAACAACAACAAATTAAAATTCCTAATAAACAACATTTAAAAAAAAAATTATTAATAATAATAATAAATTAAAAAAAAAAAAAGTTTTAAAATTAATTTAAATCAACAATAATAATAAGAAATTAAAAGACTATTAGTACCCGTCAGCCTCTTTAAACAAAATTAAATTATTAATTAAAAAATGCATTTGGTAAACATTAATGTTAATATTATTATTATTATTATTATTGGTTAAAATTAAAAATTTTTTTATTATTAATGATGGGAGTGAAATTGTATGACGTGAACACTTACTTACAATATTTCGTAGCCTAATCGAATTTTTTCCAATTCTAAATCGAAATCCATATCGAATAGACTATCGTCGATGTCTTCGCTCACCATTTCCGTTTCTAAATATGAATTTTTTTCTAATGGAATGACAATGTCTTCAAGCAAGCGCTAAAAAGCTTCGTACGATGCATCGACGGTCATTCCCATTCCGCCATTTAAAAATTCCTCGAGCTCGTCTTTTCCCTGATTACTCTCATACTCATCGTCCGAAGACCTTTGTTTCATTTTTTTCTTTTTCTTATCTCCTTTTTCTTTAATTTTCTCTTTCGATTTGGACGATGATTTTTTTTTTGTTTTTTTAGATTTTCCATCAGTCTGAAAAAAAAAAAAAAAAAAAAAAAAGCAGAATAAAAGCAGACTTTTTTCGTATAATTTTTACGAGGAAAACAAAAATTTGCATTTTCCCTCTAACCTCTTTGTCTTTGTTTTTGCTTTTTTCTTTTTTTTTCACCGAAACATCTAATAAAGAATTGTTTAAATTATCGGATTCGATACTTTCTGCATCTTCTTTTATTTTCTGACAATTGTTGCTTTGATTATCTTCTCCTCCTTCGGGACTTCTCCTCCATTTGCTATCACATCTGAACCAAGTATCTAAAGCCTCGCCGGTAATATCGTAATTCTGAATTGTTGTAAGAAAAAAAAATTTAAAGTAATAAAACATACTTTTAATTTATTTTTTCTTAATAAGTTAAATACCTGAACGTTATCCGCGATATTTTCACCCAATGAATTTTCAGATAGGTATGAAACCTTTTCTTCTTCATTTTGCAATTCCAAATGATTTATTGTAGTAGGTTTTATTGTCATTGAACCCAAATCTTCACTCATTTCATTTATTAAACTAGGACTCTTACTCTTATTAAAAGAATAATTGTTGTCATTGCTTCTTATAGCATTACTGCTAATTTTAACATTTTGATTTGATGGAGTTTTGATATCATTGTATGTGTTTTTGACCATGTTAAAATCTTCCGGATCTAAATCGTCTTGAAAGCCAGAAACCAGGGGATTTCCGAATTCGTTGTCACTAATAATTATATATAATTAAGTTTGTTAATTTCAATTTTATCATAGTGTTCTTTTAATTTAAAAATTTACCTTTCAGAATCAGATTCCATTCGATTTACTATTGTTTCTGAGCCATTATCTTCTAAAAATCTATCGATTGCTCCATCATCAGGCACAAAATTGTCTACGGTTGTTGTTGTTGTTGTTGTTGTGTTATCCACTTTTATATTGGATTTTGCTTCTACGACTGTACAAATATTTTAATAACTTATTTTTATCTCTTTTTAATAATTTTAAACAAACAGAAGATTAAAAAAAAAAAAAAATACCGTTTGAATCAGGTGGAACATCTTTGGATTTTCCAAATAATTTAGAAATAAAACCAACTCCTCCTTCTTTTGTCGGTACAGTGTCGGATCCAGTCGGGCGATCAGGTATTTGCGAAATTTGTTCTGGTTTAGAATTTCCTAATGAATGGGTGTTAAAATCAGAATTATTAATACGAGAACAAATAATTTTAGAATGTGGATTTCCCACACCGATAGCAGTTTTATGAAGCCCCGAAGAAATGGGATGACCACCACCGATAGGCCCAATTTTATATGTTTCATTAAAAGACATACTACGTTTAATTTCAGATTCTGATGAGGCAGCTGCTACGTTACTAGAAACTGGCTGATGTAATTGTTGAACGCTTTGAGAATTTTGAAGGTGTGCTGGCTGAGCTGAATCAGCAATAATCCTTCGCTTTTGCACTAGCTTATCTAAAAACCTTAAACAAAAAAAATTGATTTTTACATTTAATTGTACGACATTTGTAAAAAACACAGATGTGGTAAATTAAAGAAAAAAAAAAAAAACTTACTTGTTATAATCAGCATCTTCACTTTCCATGTAAAGATCTAATTCATTAATTGTCAATTCCGTTTCATTTTTATTTGTTTCTAATTGTTTTAAAAGTGTGTCTCTTTGAAGTTGCAAAAAAGGTAAGTTGAAAAATTTATGAAGAATTTTTAAACCGAAACCATTTCTCATGGAAGACTCGCAACACCTGACTTCAGCTGCTTCTGGCCCTCTAAATCGTAAGAAAAATACAATTCATATAAAATATGTATGTGTACTTACACATATAAAATCTTTCAAATTAAATAAGGAAATGATATGTTTTAATAAAACAATTGTTTAACTTGCCTTTGAAGATTTTCCACATAAAATGTTAAATGATGAGGAGTGATTGTTCTGTGATGTGCCATGTCACAATGATTAGCCAATATCATAATTGGTATATGCTCAGGAATTTTAGGTAACTCCTTTTGAATGTAGTTGAAAGTCCAACTTTTTGTGATGTCCATCACTAAAATAACTCCATTTGTATTTTTGTATACATCTAAAAACTCAGCATCAAGAGCAGCCTCTTCCGGAATCTAAATAATTATTATTTAATTAATTTTTTTTTTTTTTTTTTTTTTTTTATTATTTTAAATTAAAGATGTAAAAATAAATTTTACTTCTAATTGACTATTATCTAATTTAAGTCCATCAAAAGTTTTTTTCTTTTTCCCTTTATCAACAACATCCCAAACTTCAACTTTGACTATATCATCTGTTGCTTTGTAATTCCAATGAATGCTTGCTACCTGTATCTCTTCAGTTGGAATATAACTTTCAACAAACTTTTTACCCTGAAGTCTATAAAACAAACAAGTTTTACCAACATTTCTATCTCCCTTAATGACAATTTTCACTGAAAAAAAAAGTAAGAAACAAGAGTAACATATGAAACTTCGAATTTTAACGAAGTAAATTTTGATAATTTACAAACAATTTTAGTTTTGACAATTTTGAAAATAACTGGTAGAAAATTAAAAACTTACTATTATATTGAACACCTTTGGCAAATTTTCTCTGTAAATTTGCAGACATAGTTTGATGACTAGGATGTGAATTTGCTGTTTCAGGAGCATCTCCTCGACCAGCTAATCTTTTTAATGCAGAAAACATGATTCTTTTTTTTTTGGAATACCTATTATTTTTTTAAGATGACAATTTAATATAAAAACTTAAAAATTAAGCAGTCTGAACAATAATTCCACTGAACAATATTTATCATGAAAATTAAGATCAAATAAAATTTCAATAAGAAATTTATTTTTTATAACCGTGATCGACGACTTAAATAATTAATTTTACCTGGTTATTTTTTATTATGATAAAATAACTATTACTCAATTATTGGATTTCAAAGGTACAGTGTGCTCATGTTTTGATTCCATAATTTGGCAACCTAAAGAAACATACGTTTCTATAAAATTTCACATTTTCATTGAATTGAGTTTGTAAAAGAAAGACTCGATAAAAATTATTTATTATATTTTTAAGTATTTTGGCATTATTAATATTTTATAAAAACAATTAAAATAACGGAGAAAATTTAAAAAAAAAAAAAAAAAAAAAGAAACAAGAATCAACTCTTATGTAATGTATATTTACAACTTGACATTTCACATAGTATTTAAGAGAGAGGAATTTGTCGCCACTTTATTTGTCTTCTGGTTGTGATAAAAATTCGATTTTAAAAAAATTACCAAAGAAAATTTACTTTAATAATTTTTTTCAAAATGAATAAAGTAATACAAAGATTTCACATTTCATCATTACCATTGGTTATGCACTATTCAAGTGCATTGTATAATGGTAATATTAGTAGAAAGGTAAGATTTTAAATAAAATAATCGATAACGATTAAAATAATCCACTATACTACTTAAAAATTTTTACCTGTTGATGAATTTTTGATGCAAGGTGTTTTAAATTAAATGATCAAAAGCTTTTACTCCCGTATAAAGTAAAGTATTGTGTAACAGGTACACCAAGGTGCAGCCCTATTTAAATTTAGTGAGGAAGAACTTAAAAAACATCAAGAAGAAATAATGGCGAGAGGTTTGCCGGAAAAAAAACCGATACCTGGAGTTAAAAATGTTCTTTTAGTTGCATCAGGCAAAGGAGGCGTTGGAAAATCAACCACTGCTGTTAATTTATCCGTCGCTCTTAAGTATATTGCTCCCAACAAAAAAGTAGGCATTTTGGACACAGATGTTTATGGTCCTTCAATTCCTTTGATGATGAACCTAAGAGAATCACCTTCCTTGACTAAGGATAATAAGTTTGAACCACTTCAAAATTATGGTGTTAAATGGTTTGTATCTTCTGCTAGTGCTTTTTTCTTTTTTTTTTTTTTTTTGATTTTAAATTTATATTTTTTTTATTATTTATTTTAGTATGTCAATGGGATTTTTAGTAGATGAAAAGTCTCCTGTCATGATGAGAGGTTTAATGGTTATGAGTATGATTGACAAACTTTTGAGACAAGTATCTTGGGGAGAATTAGATTACCTTGTAGTTGACACTCCTCCAGGGACTGGAGATACTCATATTTCTTTAATTCAAAATGTTCCAATTTCTGGTAAATTTGCACATCTTGTACTTATTCTGCAAAATACACCTTATAATTATTTTAATTAACATTATAAAAATTTCTTTTTAGGTGTTGTATTAGTTACAACTCCTCATGAAGCTGCTCTTCAAGTTTGCGGTAGGGGTGCATTGATGTTTACAAAATTACGAGTTCCTATAGTTGGAATAGTTCAAAACATGAGCAGAGTTATCTGCAATAATTGTCAAGCAGATTTAAAAATTTTTGGTACAGGTACAGAACAATTAGCTTTTCAATTAGGACTTGAAATGCTAGAAGATATTCCTCTCGATCAAAGTATATCGGAGGGTTGTGACACTGGAAAACCAATATTATTATTGGCTCCAGATAGTAGACAAGCGCAGTCTTATGTAAATTTAGCTAAAAAGGTCATTGCATTTATGGAAATACAAAACAAAAATG